ACCCCATTCCTCGCCCCCTTACTCGGGCCCCGGCGGGCACCCCCTTTGCAGCCCTCTTTCCTTGGTCTTATTGAATGCACTCCGACCGGGACGTGAGCCCCTTTGCCCCCCGTCCGGGCCCCGGTCCGCTCCACTCCACGTCCCGCCACAGGCCATCCTGTCCAGGATTTACGGCGTGTGGATGGCGGGATCAAGGAGATGATTCCCCCCGCTCCCCGGATCGGGGCTGCCATCACTCTCCCGGAGAGAGCGAGCGCTCTCTCCCGCACTCCCCTTCCCTCGCGGCGAGGCCGCGCGGCGGCGCATCGGATGACAAACTGCTTCTATTTGGCGAGCTCACTCTCTTCGCAACTCCCTCCTCCGCCCCGCCGTCTCCCCGCCCTGACCCCTCTGGTTGGAGCGGATCCAGAGCACCGCCACGCCCGGACGCGCGCGAGGAGGGCGAGGATCGCCCCGCGGGCCAGACAACGAACGGCATCACCTCGCTGGGCGTCGGGCTGGGCGTCACCCCGCGGCTGCGAGTGACACCGCTTATCGCTAACTACCTATCCTCCTGGGCAGGGCCCGACAGGGCAGGGCCCGACAGGGCAGGGCCCGACAGGGCAGGCGCTACGTTATCGAGGCGCGAGGCATCGCCTCCTCCCCCTCCCCCTGCCCGGCGATGAGCGCCGCGGGCTTGGCTCCGTCAGTGACATAGGGGACCCGGGGTTGACGGCGATGGACGGGTCGAGAGAGGAGTGGAGGGGCTCAGACCCGCGCGGCAGGCGAGCAGGGGCAGGCGAACCAACCGCATGCAGTCGTCGTGCTCCCGGCCAATTTGCCCGATTGCCCGCATTCCCGACCGTGCTCGGCTCCCCCCGCTCGCTCTCCGCTCTCCGCCTGCTCTCGTGACATTTCGCTCGGCGGTGGGCGGGCCGGGCCTTCAGGCCGGGCGGCGTGCCCAGCCCGCGGGGCCTTCTCCTGCCCGGCGCTCTCTTTCCAGCCGACCCAGGCCGAGTCAGCTCCTTCTACGCTACGCGCTTCCTCTCTGTCCCTCCGTTTCTTCCTCTACCTCTATCTTCGCCCTAGCACCCCCCCCCCCCC